ATTTCTATACTTTGTCAAATATATGTACCTCTTCATTCAATAATCCTTAAAGGCAATGCTCATTGTGGTTTCCCATTCACGATACCTGACCTTTCCTTAATGTCAAACATCATTTTCCACTAGCAAGGGAATAAAGTATATTATTTATATAAAGCTAATAATTATTTGGGGAAAATAAATATAACATAGAGGCAATAATCGTGAAAAAGATGAGCACTTATTCACTGCTCTATTATGTCTGCAACTTGATATGTTATTGTCTGTATTTGTATTGCCTGGTTAGCATGGTCCCAATATAAAGAAAAAATAACACACCCACCAAGGGTCAAAATTTACCTAATCATTATTTCAGAGCCAAACTAGTAACAGGAATTAATTCCCAAACCATCCATTTTACTTGCAAATGTAAAATCTCTCTGTAACTTACTTGTTGTCCTTAACATTCTCGCGTATTTCTTATTACTCACGGCAGTCCCATACGACTTGATTTTTTAAAAAGGAATTAAATGATAAATGAATATGGGGAAGTTAAGAGATCTAAATTTCAAAGATCTTCTCCTTTTCAATCGATGTTTTGGTTTGATGTTGACGTAAGGTAAAATACTCATTATCATCAAAATATTTATTGAGCGCATACAGTTTACCAGACACTGTGTGAGGCACTATAGGACATGCAAATAAGTTTGAGATGTGGTTCCAGCATTCATGAAATGTAGGATTCAGTCATGTACGTACTCATCAACCAAATTAATCTAATGTTGCTAAACTTTCAACTGTTACCAGTAACAATTCTTAACATGTGTTCTTAGAATATCTTTTGGGCAGCCCTTACATGTTTTCTCAGATGCACACAGCAATAAATACAGATCTTACACACTTTTTTCCCCTTCTACATGGTGCAGATGTCAGCCTCCAAAGGTGTGAAACCATTCTTTGAGGACATGATTGGAATCCATTTGTTGTTGACTGATACAGCTGTTGGCAGCACGTAGTGGTGAGGAGCAGGTAAGCTGTGGCTTAACACCTTGTGTGTACTTGAGTGATAATGGCACAATGTAAGAGGAAAGATCCACTAATTTGACCGAATTTCAAAGGTATCCCAGTTTAAAATAATGTTTGACCTAAGGACATCCAACCTCTCCAGATAATGAGCCCCTACAACATTCTTGGTCTCTGATCAAATAAGACGTCATAGCTATTTTGGGATTAAATTTAAACAAATTAGAGTTGCATCATTTGTGTAGTCCTCAGCAGTGGAATATTCTCCAAGGAGGTGTGCAAACATGTTAACATAAAAATGTGTGACCTCTCTCTTTTTTTCATCGGCTCTCAGCTACAGATGTCACAGACCAGCCCGTGTATGACATGTGCTTCATTCTGTGACATGTGATGCTTTTAGAAATCTGTTTGAATTAATCTCTACTGGGTCAGTATTTGAGATTATCTTCTGACCTTCTTTTTCTATAAAACATCAGCATATTTCAGAGAGTTTTGGTCATCCTCATCATAATGATGAGATGCTAAACATGGCCAGGAAAAATCCATATTTTAACGGTCTTTAATCTTGTGATGCTCTAGTTCATTAGCTTATGGCAAATACCAGCTAGAAACTAAAAAGCTTCTCGGATGACCAAAACATGGCCATTTGTATATGAGCAATTTAATCAAAATGAAATTCTTTTTTCTATTTCACCGTAACTCAGAATAAAAACTAATCATTGGAAACGTGAAAAGCCAAAGAAGGACATCTGCACCAGTGGAGTTGTCAGATGACAATTTGTGAAGATCGTTACTTCTAGAATAATAGAATAATGTGCTGGTCACTGTTGCATTTGAAGGGGAAACAGAATGAAAACATGTATAATGTAAAACCAACAATTTTTCTCTCTGATTCTCTTAAGCTGTGAAAATAAAAGGTGCTTAAGTCATAGGAGCCTATCACTTCAACGTTTCACAAGTGAAAAATACATTGATACCTAAAAATATAGTTGGGGGTTGGAACGGGTTTGATTAATCAAATTATCTTCAAGTTGCAGTTTATATTTGGAACATTTACTGCTACAATACAATGCTGTTCAAGCAGGCAGATGAGGCTAAAGGGTCTGAGCTCGCAAAATCTCCATCTGGCTTTTGGAAAAATAGTTTGCATTAGATTTGGGGTTACAGGTCCCCAAACAAGCCACCTTGAAAGCATGTTTAAAGGACCAAATTTCAAGACCATATGGAAGGAACTATTACCTGCCCACCTTATACATATCCCCCTTCTCTTCTTAAGTGAGAGAATCCCTATGTTGTTGGAAACAGCAGAGTGAATGTCTACAAAACTATCTTTCAGCCTCTTTTCAAAATGAGGCTGGATAATGAGATATAAATACGAGTCGCTGGGTATGTGGTGCTGGTGCTATTTTGAGAAGAGTGCAGTAGGATGATCGGGCAGGCCATTTTCCCCTTGCCCTCTCTGGTGTTTGAAAAAAGAATGTAATGGCTAGAGTATTAGTGTTATCTTGCAAACAGGAGAGAAACTGAAAGAAAGCAAGCCAGTATGCAGGGGGGCAGAGTAGAAAGACAACAGGACCATGGGTGACTTGTACCTATGGAACCACCATACTACTCATGGGCAGACTAACTTCAGATTCCCTTTGCATGAAAAAAAAAAAAAAAATATATATATATATATTAGCTGGTTTCAGCCGCTATTAATTCAGTTTTACATTATAAGCAACTAGACCCAATCCTAATACAGATTGATAGATCCTCTATAGATCACGTAAAATGTCATTTATTAACAAATAAGGAAGGAAATAAAAACCTTATTCAAATAGTCCAGGTAAAGGGCAGACTATAAAATGATAATTAAGTACATCTGTACCCTTTGATGTTTTGAGTCAACGCAGTGTCAAATAGCATTTTTTTCTTTCTGTGTATGTGAAGAAGGGGACGGTGCCTAGAGATAGCTTATTGTTGAACTGGGTAGTTACAGATACTGAAATTGAAGTGATCTTTATCCCTGGTAGTTAGCTATGTTCAAATACTGAAATATTGTTCTCTCCATGTTATCCAAGTGGAACGATATGATGTCTACCTTGGCTAATTACTAAATTATATTTTTATGGTATGCCTAACCAATATGTACTGTTTAAATATTATAAATTCACCTTTTAGTAAGTTTTCCAAGGTAGTATACAAATTTATTACATAGAAGCTACAATTCAAGAAACTAGACATTATGAGGGTAAAGACAGAAAAAAGGAAACATAGTTAAGCTTCTAATCTGGTACTAAAGCTTAATTTTTACTTTTTCTTTCTTTCTTCCTTTTTTTAATTTTTTTTTTTTTTTAAAGGATGGGAAGTTGGCCTAAGTTTTGTGTTTACAAACATCTAAAATTTAAGACTAAATCAGGTTCATTTTCAGGGGGCAACAAAATTTGATGTTGCCTTTATGCTTTAGTGATAGAATTTTTCTGGCATCCGTGAAGATCTTAACATTTGACTTCCTCAGAAGTCTTCCTTTCCATGAAAAATACAAATTCATTCTTCTTTGGATTAAGATTATAGCCACCTAACATGAAGCCATTGAGTTTGTGGTCGGCAGGGAGTCTTCCCCTTTGAGGTTTACTGAGAAGAAATGTTGGTGCCAAGTCTCTCTTGAAAAAGAAAAGGTTTGAAGGCTGTGATATCCTATAAATGCTCTTTACTTCCAATGAAATATAGTAAGCTTGTTCTCTGGGACACAACTTTATAAAAGCCTTTTTGTTTTTCGTAGAGCATGTAGATGTTTTGAAAAAGTGATTTTGGCCACCGTAGTGCAGGGTCAACTGGGGGCCGTCAAACTCCTTCCCTGGGTTATTCAAATCTAACACTGAGCAAGATAATAGCTCACGAAGCAACTAATGAGCCTTGTCCACAGTACTGAGATCGTGTATCAGGATGACCCACACATTTTAAACGGTCTTTGTATTGATTTGCAACTCTTTCAAAGTTTAAAATCGGGCTGCGTTGTATACAAGAGCAAAGTCATAGAACAATGAACGTTTAACATACAGAGGGCATGACATTTGATTGTATCTAAGCTTCTTCAAATGCCAAGAAGAATCTGGAGAAAGATATTTGATATTGACTTTTAAAAGGTCCACATAGATAAAATTAATAAATCTTATTAAAGTTTATTTTAGAGATATTGATTTTAAAGTAGAAATGCACCCACAAAGAAAGTCCCATGATAAAGGCTAATGTGTAAATTCCTTTAAAACCCGTAGTTACTGTAATTATATGGAGCATTTTACAAGCAACTAGGGACTTCTTTGGACAGATGACTGAAATTTAATCAGTTTCTGGCACAGGCTGCCTTTCTTTCCCACCTCAATTTTCTAAAGCACTATTTCTAGGGCAGACCTGCTCAGATAGTGAACCTTTATTATCACATTTGATCTGTCTTTGAGCACTTTCCAAAAGAAAGGCTTCCACAGATCTCCTAGAAGATAAAGCAACAAGACGATTTTTCTCAATAGCCCATGTTCTTCCTCCCACCCCATTCCATTCTCAGCAAACTTAATTCAGCTCTACAGTCTGAATTTTATAATCACGAGGAGTATTATGTATGAAATGCATAAAACATCGATGTGCTAATGTCACCACCAGAGACTATCAGATGAAGAAATAGGCATATTCCTTTGTACTCCTGGACATAAGTGTTTGCCCTGAACCTCTTTTAAAAAACAACTCTTTTCATTTCTCAGCATTTTGGGTTTTATTTGAATTAAGTGGCCTTGTCCTGTGAGTCTGCTGAAGGGAAATCTGAGTTTGATATAGTTTTTTAGGAAAGGAGGAACTGGAAGAATGATCACAAATGATAAATGTGAAAATTAAGCTGCCTCTGGAGTTTATGTTTTACAAGTATGAAATCACTGAATTTATCTCCCAGATGATTTAGACATATCTGATTATTTCTGATGGTTCAAGATGTAATGGTCCGAAAGTCTAAATAGAATTCTTAGACTTACCTTTATTAGAACCTGAGGATCTGAAGATATAACTGTCTGGATTGATGACTATATTTCTGCTGTGGAGGAAAATAACAGCCCTGAGTCACTGCTTTTTGTCCACATCTTCATTAATGGGCTTAATACATTTCTGTCCTTAGAACAAATTAATGTGTTTTTTTAACTTCTTTTATATTGTAGTTCACTTAAACTTAGATTCTTTGAACATAGCTGGATTGCAGCGTGACATCTGAGTTCTAGAGATCAATTGATAGTTCTTAAAGATCATGAAGAATGGCCCATTAAAACAGTTAGTGTATGACAAATAACAACGCTTGTGTTTAGTGTGGAAATTTATCAACTAGACAGAGCACTTATTCCTGAGAACCGAATGAAAGTCTACTTGAACCAACTTATTAATCAGTCAGTGCCCTAGTCTTAACAGACTGTCTTATTAAAGAGCTCTAGATATATTAAAATTGAACTCTAATGTGATAGGTACTATCTCTGAACCACAATCACAAAGCACACAATTATTACTGAAGGCTAAAGTCTATGAAAAAGAAAAATAAGCCTTTTTTCTCCTCTCCCCCCACCCCACCCCTGCCCCGAGGACTGGGATGTTTTGCCTCAAATCTCTGGCTCTGATTAGGTACAGTGTCTACGATGGGTTGCTGGCTATGTGGCCAATTCTTTCTCTCACTCTCCACTTACTGTAGGATCACATACCAAGTTATTATGACAAACCTAAAGATATAGTGATTTTTTTCCACCCACATGTGTTTATAGAGACCACACTGCAACATAGTCTTAAATTTGCAAAGCTTTTTCAGGGGGGAATAAATTAAGCAGTACCAATAGAAAAAAAGAAAAGACTGCTTGGGCTGGCAAGTGGCATTAATTCTCAGTGAGATGTTCCAGTCCTAGAAGAAATCATCACAGCTTCTCATTCCCTGGGGGAGTCTGTGAGGGTAGATGCCCTTAAGAGCTGTGAGTCATGGGGTTTAGTACTCCTGACAGCCGGGTCGGAGATCATCTCAAATGACAATGTCAATCAGAAGGTATTGATTGTCTGGGAGTGCTAGGTGGAAAAGGATGCTTGAGGCTAAGTTTAAGTACAGCAAGAAAGCAAGCCATAATAAATTAGTGACATTTGCATGAGGAGAACTTGGGGTCTTAACAGAAGAGACGTCTCTGATTCTGACCTTTGCAGTCCATTTCTGGCATGGTGCTGACCTTAGCTTACTCAAGAGGGAAAGTGCACACACTTCCCTAAATAACCAATAGTTGCTCGATGCAATCAATAACCCTTCTGGTAGAAAGTTGCCAGGTACATGCCCGGTAGCAATCAGCAATTAAATGGTTTACTAAACACCTGCAGTGACCTAAGTGAGAATCTTCTTTGTTTTCTTCTCAAGGTTTTATTCTATTTACTTATTTATTTTTAAATATTTTATTTATTTATTTATTTATTTCAGAGTGGCCGAGGAGACATCCAAGTGGGGAAGGGGGGAGAGGTTGAAGGGAAGGGAGAGGAGAGAATCTCAAGCACACTGTGCACTGAATGAGGAACCCTACATGCAAATCGATCTCGTGACCCTGAGATCAAGATCTGAGCTAAAACCAAGAGTTGGAGGCGTAACCAACTGAGCCACCTAGGTGCCCCTCTTCTCAAGGTTTAAAAATATGATTCCTGAAATTGAACACAATAGTGCTAGAGGAGACCCAAGTCCTTTCCTACAGACCTTGGTCTCTGCCAATAGACCTACTGTGGGGGGAAATTTAGCCCCTTCCAAGTCAGTCTTCATTTTTTTTTTTTTTTGGATAGTTTAGTTCTTAAAAATCATTCTTTTGTGGACTGAGTTGAATCTGACCTTCTGGTAAATTTGACATTCTGGTTGTAGATCTGTTTTTGTGAAGAAGACAAAATAATACTGCTCTCTATTCTGCCTGACAATTCACCAGATATTCACCCAAATAATGTGAAAACTTTATATTTATTTATTTATTTATTTATTTGAAAGAGAGAGGGTCAGCAAAGGGGGGGGCTGCAGAGGGAAATGGAGAGAGAATCTCAAGCAGACTCCCCACTGAGCGCTGAGCCCCAAGGGGGGCTCATGACCTTGCTGAGATCATGACCTAATCCAAAATCAAGAGTCAGAGGCTTATCGGACTGAGCCACCCAGAAGCCCCTGTTGTTGTTTAAACAACTGATCCTGCTTTTCAAACTTATTGTGGCCAAGCCAAGGCATTTCAACTTCTGCTTTAAAGTTTTTCCACTGCTCAGTAATTCATCTCCTTACATGTATCAGAAAATGGGGGTTTTGCTCAATCCCGTATTTTGTTCTCTGCACCCACATTCAATCCATTGACAGAATCACTTGATATGACCTCCAAAATGTGTTTGAATCTTTGTTATTCAATCTCCTTTTTCCAGTGTAGGTCAAATGAGCGTTCTCTCTTGTCTATTCTACTGATACAGCCTCTGAAGTATACCCTTCACCACCTGCAGCCCCTTTCCGATACATCATCCACACAAAACTGGAGTGATTTTTGTGAAAGGCAAGTCTCCTTACCTTACTCTGCACTTAAATGCCTCCACAGCTACTCCTGGCACTTAGAAGACGTAATGTGTTTCCAAAGGCCTAGAACAATCTGGCCCCTCTTTCGACTCACACTATTTTTCCTTATTCATTAATATGCTCTAATCATCCTCCCCTCTTTCCACTCCTTAGGGGCTCTGATGATGAGACTTTGCATGGCCATTATCATTGCTTGCAACGAAGCCTGCCCTCCCTCCTCCCCCACCTTTATTTGTTTGATTTAAATGTCACTTCTTCAGAGAGCCTTCCTTGATGTTGTGCTCTTTTCCAATTAGATCAGTTTATTTATTTTTTCATTGTAGCTTTTCTTTTCCTTTCCTAGCACTATTTGTTATCTAATGTTCATTTGTGTGATTATTTAAAGTCTTGTCACCTCTTCTTGACTTTAAAGTCCATTAACTAGGGGATAAAAGACCAGTTTCTTTTTATTTTCTCTGTTTACATCACACTTAAGCACAGTGTTTGTATCAGGGTGTCAATAAATATTTGTTGAAAGATATCTATATCAATTATTTCTTACATTTCCCTTAGTCTTCTCTTTTCTAGGCCAAACATCTTGGTTCTTTTGCTATTTCTCACATGACAGTTTTTAAACTCCTTTCCAACTTGGACACATTTTTTTGACACGTTGTGTTTTCCAGTTTTTTCCTTTAAATACGGAGGACTAATTGCAGTATGTTAGATGTGATCTAATAATTAGAGAATTTAATAGGATTATTCTTTCCAATGTCCTTCTTACAATGTCTATTAATTTAGCCTAAGGTGTTGGTATTTTTTTTTTTTCTTTTTTAGCAGCTGGATCTCGCCATTGGTGCATATTAAGCTTATGATTAACTAAAACCCATATATCCTTTTCTCCTTAACTAAGGTTCCTTCCTAGAGAGCTTCATTTTAAATTGTACATTTAATGTTTTTAACTGATGTTCAAAATTATTATTTATCTCTTATTAAGTTATACTTATTGCTTATTGTCACATAAGGTACTGATTATCCTTTTCAGGTTGGTCTCATGTGTAATCTGGGCAAACATATTTTCTTTGTTCACATTCAGTGTAACAAAAGCAAGGGCCAAAGATAAAGCTCTGTGTTTTAGCCCTTTCTTATCCCAGGTAGGGGTCAAGGATCTCACTATTTGATTTATTATACATATTAGTTTATATAAATAAAATATTTTTATAAATAAAATATATTAAATTATGTATATAATTTATGCACATAAAATTATGTAATGTGTATCATGGACATATGTAATATAATTCATATTACTTTAATAAACTTAAGTTTTTTTTAAAAATTGGCATTTGTTTTTTAAAATACATTGATAAAAGGGTAGTAGTTCATCCAAATTTATACTCAAAAGCATTCTATTTCCTTAAGTTTTTTTTTTTTTTAAGATTTTATCCATTTATTTGACAGACAGAGATCACAGGTAGGCAGAGAGGCAGGCAGAGAGAGGAAGGGAAGCAGGCTCCCCGCTGAGCAGAGAGCCCAATGCAGGGCTTGATCTCAGGACGCTGGGATCACGACCTGAGCCGAAGGCTGAGGCTTTAACCCACTGAGCCACCCAGGCGTCCCTATTTCCTTAAGTTTTGAAATAAGGGTTATGTTTCAATTATTTTAAAAATAATTAAAAACAAAAATATTCTCTCTCTCTGCCTGCCTCTCTGCCTACTTGTCATCTCTATCTGTCAAATAAATAAATAAACCTTTAAAAAAAATAAAAATAAAAAAATAAAAACAAAAATATTGTTAACATCTAATCAAAACTGCATCCGATGAAGAAGTTTGGCTATATGTGTTAATATAAAGATTCAAAGGATAATTCCAAGAAAAAATTAGAAAATGGTACATGGGTCTTATTTTCCTCTTTAATTGTTGTCTTATTCCAAGAAATAAAATTAATGATTACAATAAAAACTCATGATCATTGGACTCATGATTATCTTAGCCTCTACAGAATCATTCCCTAGAAACGTTCATTATTCCAGTTCCATTCAAACACATCTGTTGAGCTCCACCTCTATGATCAGCCTTCTACAAATGCTATTCTCAGACACTTTGGCCTCCTGGGATCAGAGGAGAAGAAATAGATGAAATTCTCCTAATTTAACAGGAAACTTACATATTTCACAGCCTTTCTTAACTAGGATGTCCCTCATTAAAAAAAACAAAATAAAAAAAATTCTGGTTTTGCATTTGGTGAGTCATATCAAGACATGGCGATGTGGAACACAATGCCATTGGGTTTACTAGAGAAGTGTAAGTCTGAAACTTGCTCTTAAAAATTCTTTCAAACAAACTTGCAAACATCTTAAAATTGATAGGGGATAAAATGAATGTTCCATGCAATACATGGACGGAAGTAGAAGAAAGCAGGCAGACAGCATCAGAGAATGAATGCTGTTGGATATCATGACTACAGTAAAAAACAAAACAAAACAAAAAAAAAAATTGAGAATTTCTTTCTTCGGGGC